AGCGTCAGCTGCCAAAGCTGGGCTGTTCTGACTAATTACTTTTTTTTACCGCCAGTACTCCCAAACATCATCTTCCTTTGGAGATATAGTTAACTTTAGGAACAGAATATAAGATTACACCCTTTACAACCAAGCTATCTTAAGCGACCGGGAATCGCAATCTCTTAGCGTTTATTACATCCGAACATCTTAAGCAATGTAAATTTTTAAAAGATACAACCGCATCATAATTCTCCGCTTCGTTTGAGAGGGTCAATCATAAACCGCAAATCCGCCATGTTGCCACTTTCGAATGTTCCCGCCATCTAGGTTTCAACCAATCAGAATGGGGATGACGCCGCAAGTCGCGTGATCGCCCTCCACTTTTGCTCGTTATGACTCCGTCCATCTACATAACCGCCCAAGGTCACACATGGCCAGCGATGGTTTTCCAGTTTTAGTTCATGTCAGCCGGCCGAGTCTTTGAATTAGTCGGACCTCATACCTATTGTTCCCTACAAGTTGCAAAAGAAACATATTATTATTATTTAATCGAGTACCTCCCACTGTTTTTGACATTGTCCCCTTTTCACACAATCCCCACTACCCGCAAATCCCAACCCGTAGATTCGAAAGTGAAGTTCGGCGGCGGGGAGAACGTACGCAACTGGCTGGAATTCACTGAACTTGAATTCTCAAGATCAAGCATACTTAATTTCGGCATAACCACATCTGGTCATACCTACTTCCGCACGTTTTAAAAGTGGAATTTTGACCTCGAAAGGTTCCACTGTTGGACGAAATACGCCGGACTCGATCGCTTACAACATACGAATCTGAGACTGCCAATCGGGCGAACTTTAGCGAGAGCGTTGGAAAGCGATCGACCACGCCAGGATTCGAACCTGGAATCTTCTGATTCGTAGTCAGACGCGTTATCCATTGCACCACGCGGCCACGTGGCCGCCACACCAAAAAGCTTATCCATAGTGCCGTGCGCCGTCAGTCGTTGGTATTTGTGTCAGTTGCTTACTGCGGAACACTTGAATGGGAAAGTACAGAAAGGAGCAGTTTACACTCGGAATAGTCGTGCAAACGACTCGCTTTATGAACACTGTATAACAACCAACGTGTTTTCCCTCCGAAGATCGCTTTGAAAAGCAATTGTGACAGCCATTCAAATTTCTGATAGCTTGAATTCAAAGGTGTCCAGAAAGCTTTAAGGAAAACCAAAAAGTTTTGGAAATAAGAGCAGTAACCAAACAAAATTGTCATCACTCTCTTATACCTAACAGAATGTTGTGAACGGTTGAACGCTGTTCAAAGTGCCTGCTGCTGGATCGCTGGAATGATAGCAAAAAGCTGAAGGACACAATTTCGGCAAACTGTATGTGGCATTCAATTAACCGCACATTCTGAGTGCTGTGCTTAGCCACACTTCCGGTTTTGTGTGGCCAAAACTGTCAGTTAGCACCTTGCATCAAACGACAAGGTGGAAAACAAGTCCCTTTCTCCTGTGAGTTTTGCATTTTGGTGCATAGTATGCGATTTCTTGAGGACGAACCTGTCCTTCTTCAACTGAATGTGCTGCATCCGGCCGCCTCGTGCTTCAGCTGGTACGGTACGTCAGTATCGCATCACACTTCAGAATTAACACATCGCTCGTGAGGTTGCTGAAAATTCTTCACTAATTTCGTGCAGTTTGGGTTCAAGTAGGACATCAAGTTTAGGGAAACTAGAGGACTGCTGCTAACCGATGACCTCGAAGAAGGGCACATTTAGTTGACGAAGATCGTAAACGAGAGATTCACGTGAGTCTCCCGTGAATAGCAAGTTGATTCACAAATGAGTGTATTTGTCGAAATCGGTCGACTTTGGGTTCAATCAGAACATGAGTTTGACGGGACTGTGCCTTCCTGTTGAAACCGGATAAAGGTTAAACCTTTCGAGGGCCGTCGAGGAGTTTTCAGGAACCTTATGAGCAACGGATCATCGCTGATGGAGGGTCAGTAGATGTCAGCGGAACTCGAAGGTTGCCAAGCTCATCAGAGGTGATTCGCTGAAGCTTTTAGTGGATTTACAACCAATGCGTTAAATAATGATATAACTCACCAACTCCGTTAGGACAATGGTGTCCAGACTTCTGGTTATCTTATGCGCACCGGCTTCTGACTTTCCAAAGATTTTTGGCTCACGCACATTATAAAGTGTTTCCACTGTGCTCTACAAAGGAAACGACCATCCTGAACTCGGAAAAGGAATGAGGAAGGATGTCTCCCCTCTCTGAGGAAACAAAAACGAGGGAGAACAAGACTTCAAGACAACTACCAACTTAACCATGGTAGACAGTCTTCCTAAGAGACGCCTCCCCGGAATATGGATGGATTCTTGAAAAAATGACAAACTATTGAAGATGTTTTCGAGTGCTTTTTCAGAAACAGGAGCAATCGACATCAATAATCCTTTGTATCAGGTTTTCTGCGTAAGAAAGAATGGATTCTTTCCATCAGTGATGGTGTAGACAGCAATTGTTTAGACGAGCTGCCGCTGACACGCTAATGACAAGGCCTGTCGGACACTTTTTAATCAGGGAGTATGTATACAGCCATGCGAACTGGTTCAAGATTGTGGACCAAGTCAAAGCGGCTAATGTTACGAAGCCATGATATGCAACCTGATGAAGAAAAAAAATGGTTTCAGTGTAACAAGCAGAGCACTTTTTCTATCTTTGACGTATCTCATTTGAGTTCGCACATTGAAAATGCACCCCCATCACCATCATCATTGTCACTGTCAGCTGTAATAACCGCATACCCGTCGTACAGTGGTTGTAGCTGCTGTAGTTTCGTTCACCGATGATTCGTGGAGGTGGGGTAGGTAGCTGCGCATTGGAGGCGGGAGCTGATAAATTAGTGCGTAAGTACAGCACCGTCAGTGGACCTGTTATGTGGTGAAATTGAGAAGGGAGCTATGCATTGAAGGCAATAACTTAGATGTATGAGCGCCATTGGGGGCGCGACCGGGCCATGTCTCACAATGTCTCTAGCCATTGATGTGGCCCGTCTCGGGGTCCGCAATCATCAGCGCAGCTGAGTCTATTGTTAACGCCTTTCACACTTCGTTGCCAAGTCATTGTTTGACCTCACCTGGTTCGTTTCCACTCATACTCCGATGACGCCTAATGAGTATTCTTATTAATCAATATAAACTGAATAATTCAAGTCCCAAATAATCCCTGAACAAATGTCTTTAGTGTGGTGTGAAACATGTGGAAATTCTTACTGTGAACCTCCTCTTTTGGGGGTGGAGGCAGGTGCACTGGTCCAATCTGGATCGGCAGGACTTAAGGACAAGATTGTTGAGTGAATCGGTAATGAATAGTACACCCGAGATAAGAGTTTTGATGCTCATCAGGTTGGCCCAGTCCCCAGGTTTCCGCTATAAAGAAAAGATCCAGGTGAAATTCAGTTGTGCTTGCCGTTAAAACCGAATTCACTAAGTTCGTACAATTTTGGCCCAAATAGAACAAAAGGTTGACGAAATTTCGGGAACTGCGACTACCTGATGATCCCAATTGAACGTGAAACCGATTGTGGGCTGTCGAAGATTTCCCAACAATCTTGAAAATATACTGCGGTATCTCGAATACCCTACCAACTGAAACATGAGGCGGCCTTCGTGCAGCACATTCAGTTGAAGAATATCATGGACACGTTTAACTATATAGCTTATCTGATTAGCCAGTTGGAAGACACATGCTTGGTTCTTAACGAACCTAAAAATAAACGGAAACTACGGTTCCCCCAAGTCGTTCTCATGTAGCTGAAAACAAATTAGTGGACTTATTTTCGTATTCGAAATCCATTGGCTTGTCCAGTAGCTTCTGAATGGTCTGAAATCAGGGCTCATCTGCCGATCGTCCATAAACCTGGTTATTGCCACGGTGGAATTTCACGTGGGTCATATGGACATGGGAAAAGTTCTTTTCGTATGGTTCATATCCAGATCGTGCTTTTTAAGACAACTAGGTGTGCAGCTAACCAGAACGACAAAATTCTCTAGTTCTTTTTTGGAGCCGTAGTGGTTGCACTCGGCTGGTCGCATCGCAGACACGCGATTGCTTTTGGGGATAGTGTGCACTTATAAGTGACAAGCTCAACGGTTAGGTGGGCATGTTGTTTACGCACTAGATGTACGCTACAAAAAACGGCTAACTGTTCTGTCAGTTTCGCAGCAAACTGCACAAGTCATGTCACTCGAATTTCATGGCATTTCAGTGACTGGTTCGCCAACCGAGACTCCTTGGGATGACAGGTCAATGTGGATTCGCATTTTCTCTGCTGAGTGCTTTTTATTCCTCAGCTCCGTAGACCGCTCATTTTCGAGTGTAAATCAGTGTGGATATTCTACTGCGTCATTTACCCAGTCGGAGGCACACCTTCATCGTCGTCTTAGTCAAATATCTAATTAGGTTCCGCTTCGGCTGCAAGCACGTGAACATTATTTCGGTCTACTCTGAAACAGCGCACTTTAGGGGTCCACAGAATACGTGGAAAGCGGCCGAAGGGAAACAATTTTATCGCAAGAATTATTTAGCCCTAAAAAACCTTCTACATTGTGTGGACGTATTCCAGTACTCATAAGGTTGCTGAAAACATTTCGATATCCCACAACCACTTCTACGATTATTCGGGCTCATCACGAGGGCACAGTCCCGTCAAACTCATGTTCTGATTGAACCCAAAGTCGACCGATTTCGACAAATACACTCATTTGTGAATCAACTTGCTATTCACGGGAGACTCACGTGAATCTCTCGTTTACGATCTTCGTCAACTAAATGTGCCCTTCTTCGAGGTCATCGGTTAGCAGCAGTCCTCTAGTTTCCCTAAACTTGATGTCCTACTTGAACCCAAACTGCACGAAATTAGTGAAGAATTTTCAGCAACCTCACGAGCGACGTGTTAATTCTGAAGTGTGATGCGGTACTGACGTACCGTACCAGCTGAAGCACGAGGCGGTCGGATGTAGCACATTCAGTTGAAGAAGGGCATCATAAACGAGGGGTTCAGTTTGGTCTCCCGCGACAGTCAACTTGGGTGAATTTCGCCATTGTTGATGATGTTTTCCAATGTGATTCACATTTGTTCAGAGAATGATCTGGCGATGTTTAACTCTGATTCATTCATTGGTCGATTTGGTAGCAACTAGGTCCCCTTCTAGTGGGGTGCAGCCGTCCTCGACATAGCGCTAAAAATGCAAGACTACCCGGAAAAGCCGACTTGTTTTCCAACTTGTCGTTTGATGCAAGGTGCTAACTGATTGAGTTGGCCATTTTGTCAGTGTACCAATCAAATTGGAGGTGTGGCCCAGCACAGCACTCAGAATGTGCGGTTAATTGAACGCCACAAACATTTCGCCGAAATTGTGTGCCGTTCCGCCATTCGTAATCAGTCCAGCGATCCAGCAGCAGGGGCTCTGAACAGCGTCTAACCGTTCATCGAATTCTGTTGGCGGTTGGAGGGCGGTGAAAAGTTTGTTTGGTTATTGCTGTTATTTCCAAAACTTTCTAGTTTTCCTGTGAGTCTTATGGACAGCTTGGAATGCAAGCCATCGGAATGTTGAATTGCTTTCAGAGTTGCACTTTAAAGCGATTTCCCGAGGAAGGACGCACTATTGGCTATAGAGCGTCCATAACTTTAGGTAAAGCGAGCCATTTGCGCGACTATTTCGAGTGTGAACTACTCCTTACTGTATTTTCCCATTCAAGTGTTGCGTAGGAAGCAACTGACAATTGTTGACGACTAACTACCGACATACATTAATGGTGTGTTCCATGGCGCATTGGACATAGGCCATCGTGTGTGGCCGCGTGGCGCAATGGATAACGCGTCTGACTACGGATCAGAAGATTCCAGGTTCGAATCCTGGCGTGGTCGGCTAGATTTCCAACGCTCTCGCTAAAGTTAGCCCGATTGACAGTCTCAGATTCGTATGGTGTAAGCGATCGAGTCCAGCGTGGTCGGCTAGTTTTCCAGTGGGAGCCGCTGTTGTGATCTGCTCTCACGAAATTCCGTCCCTTAGATTCGTATATCGTAGGGGATCTCGTCCAATAGTAGAACAATTCGAGGTCAACACCATTTTTATGGTATGCGGAAGAAGGTATACATATGCTTGACCTTGAGAAATCAAGGTCAATGAATTCCAGCCAGTTGCATGCGTTCTATCCGCCGCCGAACTCCAATTTCGAATCTACAGTTTTGTTACATCAAATTGGTACTGACCGTCTTCGTAAAGCAATATCCTTAATCTCCTCATGCATCCTCAGCGATATGTCACAACTGAACTCACAAAAATAAGGACGTGCAGGAACATTTGTTCGCGCTGAGCGCATTACGAATACTTCGGGGGCTTCGACCAAGTGATCTCCAACCGTTGTAGGCAAATTGTGTGATCTAATGCAATGCGAAACTGTAGGTTATCTTGCGGCATCTACCGGCTGGTAGCTCTAATTGTG